TCATCTCTTTTGTACATGTTTCTTTCTTTTAGTGAAAAATAGATTAGTGAGGTACAATGACATTTCCCATTTTGCTTCCACTTTGCCCTTCGTCCAATGGATTAAGCCAGACAACCACATTGTTTGACACATCACTCACAGTTGAGGCGTGGGTCTCGCGTGAATAAAATAATGCCGACCTCCAATGTGAATTTGTCGTGTCAATTAATGTGTCAAACTTTGTAGTAGTGTAGTATGGTCCTCGTTCAATAGATCTTTACCTAGCTAGAATTCTGACTCTTGAACAGGGAACGCAACCTATTATATTGTTGACCCAGTCTCTGACTTCGTTTTAGGCTGAAGTAATTTTAGGCCTAATCTAGGTATGAAATGATTTTCACCAACTGCATACTTGACATCCTAGCAAAGAGTCTATGCTCAGGTCTAGGAGCAAAAGGCTCTATCCCATATGATGAGGGTATATTGTCAAATCAAGAAATACATCTAATAGTTTTTCTCGATTGAGAAGCATACTTTAGATTTCTTCAATAGAAGAAGTGGTGTATATGGTATGTAGTGTATTTACAACCACATCATAATCAAGATCAAGTCCTTCAAGAACACAACCAATAATTTAAGTTGGGTCGGTTTTCTAATTCGTTGTGTTGTCTAAGTTATCTCAAGCTTCTACATATTTAGTCAATTTTCGCTAGTTTTTATTTCTTCATTTGTAAAAATCGTGTGTTGACTGGTTGGCTGCAAGTCAAAACTTGAAAGGTCGGGTTAGAATGCTTGAGGATTTCGTGGGTGCCTTGATGTCAGATGATGCCGTTAGTTTAGCGGTATAGACAGAGGAAACCAGGCAGAATTTGGCTGGAACGAAGCAATTTTTCAAAAAATTCGTTGCTATGATGAAAGAAAAACTCGCATCCATGCTGGGCGACGTTATGGCCCTGACTGAAAATGTTATCGTGCACCTAGGACTTCTAGAAGGCGAAGTTGCATTGTTGAAACAGGCTATTCCAACTCTTAAAGATTCTGTGGTGACTTTGAAAACCAGGGTACCTGAGCCAAAATCGTTTAACTTAACAGTACCCTGATTGCTAAGGAATTCAAAACTTTTCTTCAAGACATGGTGCAATATTTTAAGGCTGCACATGTTCCCAAGAAAAATCGGGTGGATGACACGAGCATGTATCTGTTGGGAGATGCAAAATTATGGTGAAGAACTCGGTTGCAAGAAGATAAGACTACATGTAGGCAAAAAATTCTGGCTTGTGAAAGGCTATAGAAAGAAATAAAGAATCAGTTCTTTCATTGGAATAAAGTGTGGATTGCGAAACTTGAGGAAAAGAGACGTGTTACAAAAGGTGCATGAAAAATTTCTGTTCTTTGATGTTCTCTATTAAGAAAATGTCCGAGGAGGACAAACTCTTTAACTTCATGGCAAGAATGCAAGCTTTGGTAAAAGCAGAACGACGTCGACAAGGCGTGAAGGATCTGTACACGGCCATTGCTACAACCACTGCTTTGGTCTAACTAAGGTTAGGTGGTGACTAGAGACAGATTTGGGGGGTTGGCCTGGGCTGTAGTCAGGCCTCCCCTTAGGCCCAAGAACTTTTTTTTAAGGCATTTTTTTGGGGCGTAAAAAATCAGTTTTTTATGTGTAAAATTTTATTTTATTTATTTTTATTTTTATTTTTATTATTGATAATCTCAGATCTTGTCAATCCCGAACTCGATCCATGAACCCCGATCACACCATAAACCCCGATCTCAATACCCCCTAAAAACACCAAAACAAGGTCGGGCATTTGGGTTCGAGGTATGTATGTCGACTCGTCAGCTTTTTTATACGACCTATGGGAACACTAATCTTTCTTTGATCACAATCCCTACCCTGTTAGACTCCTTCTTTGACTCAAACGGTGATTTGAATACTTGAGATAAAACACTAACTCCTTTTCCTAAGAGGATAAGGATCGTGACAGAATAAGTCCTTTTAGGACTCCACCGCTAACACCTATAAATACACAACCTGTGCTCATTCTTGAGGTACATTTTTCATTATCTTTAGCTTATAGTTTCACGAACTAAATTCCCCATCTGACTTAAGTATCGGAGGGGCGAAAAGCACACATCTCGTTGCCTTTATTGTAGGTATTCAAAGACCGTTCGTGTGAAGTTCGATCATCAAGTTCGAGATCTTTCAGTTAATATTTTTTGGTAGCATCATTGGCGCCGTCTGTGGGAATACGCTACCAAAAGCCATGGTCAATACACGTTCAGGTCTTCCTCCAGCAAGCTCATTCGTCTCGGATAACTCTCATCTTCTTGAGGAACGCCATATCCCTCAAGTAGAATCGTTGGAGATGCCAGCACCTCCTCAAGTTGCTGTTTTCGCCGGAGCTTTTGAGGAACTTCGTCAGCAGGTGGCTACATTAACCCAATTGTTAAGCCAGAGAAATTCGCACCCGTCGCATACCCTAACACCTGAAGGTGGCTTCATGGCAGATGCCCGGGCTCGAGTTCGTCATGTAGCCCATGATGATGGTGGGGTTGGAACTTCAGGTGTACCACAAGTGGCATCAGGTTCAAGGTCCGTTAAGGTCCGTTACGATGGACTCCGCTGAACTTGCTAGAATTATTCAAGAAGGGATAGCAGTCCGTATGCAACAAAATACTCGGGTAGCAACAGGATTCACCCCCCCAATACACCATTCACTTCAGAAGTCCTCTCGTATCCCCTTTCGGATAGGTTCAAGTATCCCCGGATAAAGGAGTACGATGGGACAACTGACCCCATCAATCATCTCAATGTGTACACGGATATCATGAACTTACAGGTTGCACCTGATACAGTAATGTGAAAGGCATTCCCCCAAACCCTCACAAACGCAGCTAGAGATTGGTTTTCCACATTGGAACCAAACTCCATCACCTCCTTCACAGATTTGACCGATAAGTTCTCCGCTTTCTTTGCGAGCAGCAAGCGAATCAGAAAGACAGCAGCATCACTCATGCAGATGCGTTAAGGACCCAACGAAACACTGCGCAATTTCATGACCAAGTTCAATAAAGAACAGCTTTAGATCCCCAATCTATATATCACAGCTGCAGTCTCAACTCTGACATACACCATTAAGTGCGAAGCATTCAAGATGTCCTTGTCTAAGACCCTGCCGAAGTCAGTCACCGAATAACTAACTAATAACAAGTAATAAATTAAGGTTCTATTCCAACACGGAACGAAAAGGACAATATACAGGATGGGTAGAAAGATTTGTGACATCAATGTGAAAGAAACCATGACCCCAAAAAAGGGAAGCTACCTCATCAGGGAGGTTGGATCAGAAAAGGCCGCATGAGTCCAGCTTAAGATAAGAGACACCTAGGGACAAACCAAGGAAGGATCCTCCTTCAACGTCTTTTACCCATTTGAACACTTTAAGGTCCAACATCCTGATGGAAATCAAGGACTTTAGGAGAACTAAAGTGGCCTCCCGATTGCGGTCTCTCCCCGATACTCGTGACAAGAGTAAATACTGTGATTTTCATAGAGATCACGGGCATACAACGGAAGACTGTCTGGCCTTAAAGCGAGAAATCGAAGCTCTTATAAAAAGGGGATTTCTGAGCTCTTACATTAGTAATGACAAGTGCCCGAGGAATAATCAGAATGGAGGCAAAGGCCTAGAAGATTGGGGAAACAAGCAACCAACCGCAGGCACTATCAATATCATTGTCGGAGGAACAGCCTCAAGAGGAGATTCTAGCAGCAGGCGTAAACAGTATGCCAGGCAGCCTCCAATCATCTCGAGATCAGATCTTGCCTGTACAGAGGACATCACTTTTGGAACAGATGACTTGGAAGGCATAGCGTTCCCTCATGATGATGCCCTTGTCATATCGGCCATCATTTTCCAACTTTGAAGTTAAGAGAATTCTGGTAGATAACTGAAGTGCACCAAACATACTGTGTAATGAAGCCTTTGTTCAAATGGGGGTCTCATCAGAGCAACTCAAGCTAGTCAAAACACCCCTCCAAGGATTTGGAGGTGGGGTCATCACCCCGGAAGGTATCGTCGGGTTACCCTTAACACTGGGGGCCGAGGGTAAACAGGTGACGCAAATCACTACCTTTGAAGTTGTCCATTTGCCAATGGCTTACAACGCCATATTGGGAAGACCACTACTCAATAGAATTCGAGCTATTTTCTCAACTTTCCACTTGGCTATGAAATTCCCTATTTCTAATGGAATCGGGATAGTCCGAGGCAACCAAACGGTGGCCCGACAATGTTATGTGACTAGCGTTTGAAAAACAAAAAATGACGTCATGCAAGTTATAGAGCTCGAGCTCGAGCACGAAAATCACGGGAGGCTAGCTCTGGTGGAAGGATTGAAAGAGGTCGAGATCGAGCCTGGAAGAAAAGTCACAATTGGTCGGGGGTTAGATACAACGGTCATGTCTGAACTTCTAAGTTGTATCTCCCGCAACATTGATGTATTCGCTTGGAATGTTGAGGACATGCATGGAATTGATCCAGAGGTTGCAGTACATAGACTTGACGTAAACCCAGAAGCAAGACCTGTGAAACAAAGGAAGAGGACGAAAAGTCATAAAAGAGGAAATTGCCAAACTTGTTAACGCACAGTTCGTTCGAGAAGTACAATATCCCGAATGACTTGCCAACGTGGTTCTTGTCAAGAAAGCTAATAGAAAGTGGCGAGTTTGCATTGACTTCACAGATCTAAATAAAGCATGCCCCAAAGACAGTTATCCCTTACCTTGAATTGACAATCTGGTAGATAGCACGTCAAGCCATATGCTGAACAGCTTCTTGGATGCTTTTTCAGGTTATCACCAAATTCTCATGGCAGAAGAAGATCAAGAGAAGACCTCGTTCATGGCAGATTCGGCCATCTACTGCTACAGGGTCATGCCCTTTGGACTGAAGAATGCTGGAGCTACATATTAAAGGTTAGCGAACAAGATCTTCGCCAAGCTAATTGGGAAAATGGTCGAAGCATATGTGGATGATATGGTGGTTAAGAGCAAACAGTTGAATAACCATGTTTCTAATCTAGAGGAAGTGTTTGCTACGTTACGGAGGTACAGCATGAAGCTCAACCAGGTAAAGTGTGCGTTTGGGGTGGCATCTGGAAAATTCTTGGGTTTTATGATCACGCACAGAGGAATAGAGGTGAATCCTGATAAAATACAAGCTCTGATAAGTATGGAGGCGTCTAAGTGCAAAAGGGACATTCAGAAGTTGACAGGTCGCGTAGCAGCATTGAACATGCTTGTTTCCCGGGCAGCAGACAGGTGTTTCCCGCTTTTCAAACTACTTAGGGAAAATAATGGTTTCGACTGGAACGAGGAATGCAACTTAGCTTTTCAGGAGCTCAAGCAGACATTATCAACGCTTCCAGTCCTTATTAAACCCGAACCCAGTGACACGCTGCTATTATACTTGGCCGTTTCTCAGAACGCAGTAAGCGGTGTCTTGGTAAAGGAAAAATGAAGAGTTCAGCAACCTGTTTACTATGTAAGTAAAGTGCTCCTCGATGCAAAAACATGATACACACTTGCAGAATAGCTCGCCATTGCTTTAGTAATAGCTGCTAGAAAATTACGGTCATACTTCCAGTCACATCCAATTGTTGTACTCACCAACCAACCTCTCAGACCTATACTTCAAAAGTCGGACGCCTTAGGAAGATTGCTGAAATGGGCAATTGAACTGGGCGAAATTGATATAGAGTTCAAGCCACGACCTACAATCAAGGCCCAAGCTTTAGCCAACTTCATAGCAGAGCTAACTCCGAGATCCTCAGAAACACCGGCCAAGGGCTCGAACTCGACCTTAGAAACATGGGAGATTTTCGTTGACGAAGCATCCAATAGCTCGGGCTCGAGGGCCGACATCATCATCACAAGTCCGGACAAGACTACAGAGATACAATGCGCTCTCAAATTTGAATTCGAAGCTACCAATAACGAAGCAGAGTACGAAGCTATTGTTATAGCCGTGGAACTCGCTAAAAATCTTGAGTGCGAGCACCTCAAAGTTTTCAGTGACTCACAGCTAGTGGTCGGACAAATCGAGGGGTCTTTCGAAAGAAAGGATGAAAAAACGAACTTATATTGTTTGAAAGTACATGACCTCCAGAGGCAGTTCATAAGTTGTGAAATTTTGAAGGTAGCCAGAGCCGAAGATGCCAAGGTTGATGCATTATCCAGACTCGTCTTCATAGGTATGGACGGGCTCGATAGAATCGTGCACATCAAGATGGTTGCAGAACCAAGAATAGCTCAGAAGCCAAGTGTCATGGACATCGACCATGAGCCCTCCTGGATGGATCCAATAGTTGATTACATAAGTAATGTCAACATTCCTACAGACCCTCGGCTTGCCAGAAGCATTTGGTATAGAGCTGCTAAATATTGTATAATCGAAGGGGTCCTGTTCCGCAGGAGTTTCACACTCCCCTATCTAAGGTGTCTCAGACCTTTCGAGTCTCTTCAACCAATGACTGAAGTTCATGAAGGCATTTGTGGAAATCACCAGGGAGCCCGAGCTCTGGCATATAAGTTGATAAAGTATGCATACTACTGGCCAAGTTTGAAGAAAGATGCCACAGATTACGTCCGGAAGTGCGACAAGTGCCAAAAGTTTGGCCACGTCATACATGCTACTGCTGAGGAACTAACATCCATTCACTACTCGGCTCCCTTTGAGCAATGGGGAGTTGATATTCTTGGGCCTTTCCCCTTGGCCCGAAGACAATTAAAATTTATAGCTGTAGCAGTGGAGTATTTTACAAAGTGGGTAGAAGCTGAACCTCTAGCAACAATTTCAGAGCCGAAGCTCAGGTCATTCACATGGAAGTTCGTCATATGCAGGTTCGGGATATGGAAAGTCCTTACCACAGATAATGAAGGCAATTCGACAATCCCCATTTCAGGAACTTCTGCGCCAGCAATGGGATTGATCATCGGTTGACCTCGATCTCACACCCACAAAGTAATGGGTTAGCCGAAGTAACTAATCGGATCATATTGTAGGACCTCCGAACAAGGATAGGGGACGCCAAAGGTGACTGGCCTGACGTACTACCTTCGATACTATGGGCATATAGGATATCACACAAGACAGCAACTGGTGAAACGCCATTCATGCTTGCTTTTGGACTTGAGGCAACCATCCCAATCGAGGTTAGCCTCCCCACAATAAGAAAGCTCGAGATAAATAGGGAGACGCAAACTACCGAGCACCTTGACTTGCTTGAAGAGGTAAGGGAGCAAGCCTCACTTAGGACTGCGAGTTATCAAAACAGAACGGCAAAGCACTTCAACAACAAGGTCCAGACCAGGAGAATTGGAGCTGGCGATCTTGTCCTTAGAAAAGCAGAAGCCGTAGGACACCAACCAGGGAAACTTGGGCCGACATGGGAGGGATCCTACGAGGTCATAAGAAAACTTAAAGGTGGAGCTTATAGCCTCATAGACACATCGGGAAAATCACTCCCAAGGCCATGGAATGCCAATAATTTGAAAATATATTATAAGTGACTAGCTATAACTATACTTTTCCTTCAGGGCTTGCATGCCCGTTTCATGTTTTCTTAATTTCATTTTTTACTTTTTGGGTTCTAATGCCCTGTTACTTCATGCTCGAATAAGCTTGGGTATCAAATGCCCTTGAGCCTTTTTAATAGCACATAGAATTTTCTTTATGATGTTGATTCCCTATTAAATTAGCATAAGGCCGTGCCCCGCGCATGCAGCTAATAACTTTACTAAATTAGCGTAAGGCCATACCCCGCGCATGCAACTAATACTTTTACTAAATTAGAATAAGGCCATGCCCCGTGCATGCAGCTAATACATTTACTAAATTAGCATAAGACCGTGCCCCCGCGCATGCAGCTAATACCTTTACAAATTCCACACATAACCTCAAGCAGTAATAGCCCGACCTCATCGATCCTAGAATGACGAGCAATGAAATATCATTAGATCGAGGTCGGGGCATGATATAATTGCCCACGTATACCATCCTCGACCTTATCGATCCCAAAATGCTCAACCAAGCATGAATTCTGAAATCGAGGTCGGGTCATGATATAATTGCCCCTCATATAACCATGTTCGACGTTCCCGACCAATTGGTCCACCCTCGATATCAGCAAGAAATCAAATCAATACCAACACTAGTGCACGAACTAGTTGCCCCCAACAACACACCACTGAACTTGGAAATTGACGCCCCACGATCAGTATTGTTTAAAGGATCAATGTCTCCATAGTTCAACGATAGGAATTACACCCTAACTATTTCACACACTCGAGCTATGAGTTAAATGATTGCAACATCTGAGATACGCCAACAATAGAACTCTAAATTGTAATAAAAGCTCGAATTCAAAATTACGATACGCGAACATAGGATCAACGCTCGATCTCGTAGGAATAATAAAATACATGAACTGATAAAATTCCCTCTCAAAGACAAAAGCCCAGTTCGGGCAATAAACTTTGCATTTAATCAAAATCAAAATAAGTTCATAAATCCAGATCGGGCAGACAACATGAGCAAAAAGAAAAAGTTACAAAAATGTCAGTCTCGGGGTCGGGGAAGGGCCTAATCTAGGTCGATGGGGTCGCTCCCTCCTCAGTTGTCGGAGGTCCCAGGATCGTCGTCATCATCATCCCCATCACCCTCAGAGGAGGATAGCTCGAGGTCCTTAGCGAGCTCATTCACAGTCTTTAACTCCTCTACTACGGGCTTCAAATCCTCGGGGAGCTTGGTCCTAAGGAATGAACAAGCTAGCCGCAACCCATAGTAATACGAGCCAGACCCGTACTGACCCAGGAGAGTCTTGAACTCATCAAACTTCTTAAAGTCATCGACAGCCTGAGCTCGGGACTGCTCAAACATTCGCAAGCTCTGCCTCAAAAGCACTTCGAAACTGAATGAGCTCGAACTTCGCCTCCTCAGCTTCATCCCTTGCCAACCCGACCTCGTCCTCAGCCTTTTTAAGGTCCACCTTGGCTGCCTTCTGGGCCCTTTCAAGCTCCTAGGCCCTCTTAAATGCAACCTCGTTCTTAATCTCGAGCTTGGCTATGCGATCTGAGGAATTCAATCCCCTGAGCCCCAGACCTCGAGCTACGCTTAGTGCTTGCAAAAACAAGTATGGAGCCCGACATTAGTACAAATTAAGAAACCAATCAAGGGTACCAGAAGCATTCATATTAAAAACCGACCTTCAGTGTAAGGAGCTTGAAAGTCCAAACTCCTTCATTCATCTCGACCTCCTTCTCATACTTATCAACTATGCCCTGGATGAGAGCACAATTGGCGTACTCCTCGAGCGACTTGGTAGGCATATGGTTGTCATCATCAGCTAAGAGGTCCGACCCATAACAAGGGGTACGAACTTGAACTTGTTGTTGGGGGGTTGGCTGCCTTGGAGGGGTCGGGTTTTGTGAGCTCTGCCCCAGGTCTACCATGGTTGGACGGACGATCTCCCGTGCCTGCTTTTTTCCTTTAGACGAGGTCGTCGTAGGGGCTTTAGACTTCGGGCCCTTCACCTTTTTGTGAACGTTGTCCAAGAGGGTTTATGGATCGAAAGACATCTCGAATTCTATAAGCAGAAATACAACAAGGCATTAGCTCGAACTATAAATCGATGTTTACACATGAAATAGCAAAGATTACATAAAAAGAAAGATCGTACCCTCGAGGCCTTTCACGTTAGCAAGGTCGAGGGTGTCGTCTTCAAGCAAGTAATCAATCTTGTCTGCAAGGGGGTCGTGGTTCACTAACCTCAGCCTATCTCTCTCTAGAACCTCAAAATAGGCTCGACCTTCGTTAAACCTATCCTTATAGGGACTTCCCACCTCGGGCTAAAGGGATGGTCAGGGTCTTGAGGCTTCATAAAAAAGAAACGTTCCTTCCAACCCCTAAGTGAGCTCGGGGTATCAGGAGTTCTAAACCCCCCCTCGGTGGATAAATAAACAAAACAGTTAGACCCCGGGGAGAATTTCATATCAAAGACCATTCGAAGTAGGTCGACCCTAGGTTCAATCTCGAGGCGCCTACATAGTATGAATAAATACACTAATAACCTCCAACCGTTCGGGGCTAGTTGACTCGGACACAGGTAGTATGAGGTCAGAAAATGGATGAAAATGGGTGAAGATGCCACCTAAGCCTGGCCTTAAGAGCGTCCCTAAAAAAGGTCATCTCTCCCTCCCGAGCTCCTAACATGGTCTCAATTGGCCCTGGGGTTCTAATGTCACAAATTGGCGTGACCCCGAACTCTCTAGCTATTTTAATAATTACATATTCTTTGTACTTGGTCGGCTCCTTAGGGTATGTCAGGACGTCGATATGGGAGTTAACAGGGATGGCCATAGGAATAATGGAAGTATTTACATCTTCAGTCCTATCACTATGGTTCGAGTCTCTAGGAGCCTGGCTACTATCACAACTACTTAACCCATTACTATCACTACTTTACATTACACTATAATCAAATAAAACAAGTTAAGGGCTCGAACTCTTACCTCTGTGGATGATCGCTCACAAACCCCACTAATCCCCGAACTCGAGCTCGATTTACTGGGAGATGAGAGTTAAAAGTGAAATATGAGGGTGAAAGTTGGGGTATTTATAGGGGACTGAGGAATTCCAACGGTCATGCAATCTCAACCCTTGGACCAAGACACGTGGCGATAATCTAAGGTCGTGCCCAGACATTGCACGTGGCGGCCATCTGAGATCGCTCTCTGACATCCCATCAAACACTCAACACGTGGAAAAATACCTGGGCGTTCATGCCTCTACATCTTCGCTCATAGGTCAGGATTGGACGTAAATCTACAACCTCGATGCACGGGGGCCAGTGATGATCTGAGATCTTGTCAACCCGAACTCGACCCATGAACCCCGATCACACCATAAACCCCGATTTCAATACTCCCTAAAAACAGCAAAACAAGGTCAGGCATTTGAGGTCGGGGTATGTATGTCGACTCGTCAGCTTTTCTATACGACCTATGGGAACACTAATCCTTCTTTGACCACAATCCCTACCCTGTTAGACTCATTCTTTGACTCAAACAGTGATTTGAATACTTGAGATAAAACACTAACTCTTTTTCCTACGAGGATAAGGATAGTGACAGAATAAGTCCTTCTAGGACTCCATCGCTAACACCTATAAATACACAACTTGTGCTCATTCTTGAGGTACGTTTTTCATTATCTTCGGCTTATAGCCTTACGCACTAAATTCCCTATCTGACTTAAGCATCAGAGGGGCGACGGGCACACACCTCGTTGCCTTTATTGTAGGTATTCAAAGACCGTTCGTGTTCATCAAAGCGAAGTTCGATCATCAAGTTCGAGATCTTTCAGGTAATATTTTTTGGTAGAATCAATTATTATTATTATTATTTTTGTTTTGTTTTTTTTTGCTTAGTAGTTCAGTTTGAAATTTTGTAGCCCGGTCTTGGAACCAATCATGGACCCGTCCCTGGCGGTGATGCTTCGTTGAGGAAGGAAAATGAAGGCAAAAACAAGAAAGATGATCTGCAAAAAGATGGGTCAAAGATTGCTTAAAAATGGGAGGACCAATGTTTTGAAATCAAAGATGGTGGAAACTTTTCGAGGAAGGCTAAAACTTTTAACGGTTGCTTCATTTTCAAGGGGCCTCATCGTGCAAGAAACTGTCCAAAATGGGAACAACTGGCTGCAATGTTGCTATGGGAACAACAGGATGAAGATGTCGAGGAATTGGCATTAGTTCGGGTGAATCCGCTGTAGATGATTGTAGCGTGACGTGTTGCATGCTTTGTTACTGCGAAGCAAGAATTCGGTGTGGAAGGCATCGAATGCAGTAGCAAATTGTGGGAATGGCCGAGATGTGGAGTGTTCCAAAATTGCGACAAATGTGGTGAGTTACATTGGAAAAATTCGTGTGGGGCTATAGCGAAACAGATTTGACTGATCGCCCGACATTCAGGCATCAAATGAAGGTGATGTCCAGAAAACTGCAAGAATTCTTGGCATGTGTTCGGGAAATACAGATGCTTATAGGTATCGAAGAGGATGTCAACTTCTTTCAGTAGGGAAGGTTTGTAAGGACCTTGACCAAGAAAATTGGCAAAACATAGGTGATGTCTTGACCATGCCTTGTCGTGGCCGAAAGCATGTGAAATATTCGAACAATGAGCACATTAAGGAAGGAATCAAGCATGACATTTGGGTTGGTTTGAATATGCAGCAGTAATGATGATGCTAATTTACTTGAGGCATCGAGGGACGAAATTCGGGACATTTGACATTGATTGATGCGGCAAGTGTTTGGTAGCATTGAGACTGTTGTCCAGCGGACTTTAGTCCATTAATTCAGTGGTCGAAACAGGCATAAGTATAACATGTGACTTGCAATTACAAACAGTTTTTCATATTGAATGAGTTGGGGGTAGTTTTCATCCGGGTGGGGGTGAAGACGTGCAAAACTAACCCAACAGTTGGCGGCTGACAACAGCAATCCGAAAATGGGGTTTCCCTATAAATTATTGTTGGGTATTTAGTTAGATAGAGAGAAAAAGGCAAGTTTTGAGAGTTGATTGAGGCAACATTAACAAAGTGTTGTGTTAGTCCTTTCGTTTCCTTTGTATAAATTTCTTTATTTTAGTGGAAAATAAAGTTGGGATAGTTCCCAAAATTCTCTATGTTGTCTTAGTTATTTCTATCTTCTGCATACTTAATCATTTTTTTGTGTGTGTTCATTTCTGCACTTGTACAGAGCAATATTGACTGATTGGGGAAGAAAAATCTCACTGCCATCGTAGGGAACACCCCGTGACAATTTCTAATGGTAATATTGACATCACTAATTGATAACGAACATTATATATTTATATAAGGATGTAAGTTATTCAAATTGAACCTTAATGAAACAAATTGTTGTGTTCTCTTTATCTGTTTGATGGTCTCATGATGCCGGATTTAAGAAAATTAGAGCCTTAAGCGGAAATTCCAACGTTTAGGAGGCTGATTGAGGTTTTTCACCGTATACAACTCAATTTAATTTCGTTCTTATTCAGTTGTACCAAATGCATCCTGTTTTGTACTCTCCAAGAACAGTGAAGGTGTGAAGCTCATTATGGGACATCAAGTCAAGATCATACATCCCAATACACGTTTCATCACATATATACATATACATACATAGACTTGATATTATTATTTTATTTCTTAGTATATTTATCCAGTGAGATCGAGTCAATACTTCCTAACTGTACACCAGCCAGCATCAACCAATCTCCATTAAGAATTATGATCAACGATCGATCCACCAAAATTTCGTCCATCTTGCCCACAGCGATAAATATCCTCCTGTTCATGTTTAAGAAATTGTTAAAATTAAAATATATAATACAATAATTTTCTCTCTATTTTTTTGAATGAATAATTTTCTCATTATTTTTTTCATAAATAATTTCTCTTACTTGTTATCACATTTGTGCTCCAATTTCTTTATTGCAGGTATATCCCCAACTTTTCATTAATTATACATCTCATCCCTGTCGACAAATTTCGATTCCATGGTTTCGTAAGGAGTATAAAGACTTATTATTATTATTTTTTTATATTTTTTAATATAAAAAGAAATCAAAATTACGACTATATAATTTTCCCTTATTTGAAAGCTAGCTAACCGAATTTTTGTTTATAGCAAATAAATCAAAATTTGTTAATAATCTATATAAGTATTGTATAGTTTCTTCTTCTGAGATCCTCTATTTTATTTGATTTCTATTAACCAAAATTAAGAAAAAAATAAAAATAAGAGAGAGAGAGAGAGAGAGAGAGAGAGAGAGAGAGACTGACCTCGATTGATTTCAATTGGCAATTGTGCGGCCACTAAGAGGCGATACGGGCCTTGAAAAAACAATTATATGTGAGAAATGGTGGCCCTCGCCAACATCCTCTCCAATATGAGAATCCTCAGCAATTATTCTCAGAATTTGGCTATGTATCATGTTCTTCCCACCGCCGCCGCCTCTCCCCGCCACCGATCTCGGTGACTCTACCTCTTCCGTTGTCCACGACCCGTTGCTCTCTCCATCCATCTCGACCACCGCCACCCTCTTCGAATCTCTTTCCGTATAGTCCCGTAAAGAAATTGGTGTACTCTTCCCACTATTCTTCATTCTCATAATCTGGATTTCTAGTACCCTAACACAAGCGCAAGATGGGTTTTACACAAAAATTATAAATATATATATACACACAAGTCCATGGAGGTTGGGTGGGTATGGTTGGTCATCAATCCCAATCCCAAGCTTCCATGTGAGATACGATCTTCTTCCATGAAAACGAAGACACTCTGGGCATGTGACACGTATATGTAGGTAGGTATTCAAGTGTTAGAATGGTAAATGACACGTGGTGATTGGGCCACTCCAAACCGTTGCCGTTTCGTGTGGAAGTGGATTAATGACGCCACGTCATCTTAGAGATCGTGTATCTCCACAATAAAAAAATAAAAAAATAAAAAGGTTGAATTCCAATCTTAAAGGCTCCTACAACTCCCGCTCCTGAATTATCGTAAGGGAGGTAAATTGCAGGATGTGTCCCAACAAATCACGGAACAAGAGTTTGTCCGTACACTGATATCCACAAAGAGTCCAATTTCATATTTCGCTATAGTAAATCATTGAGGCAAATCAAAATAAAAAATTGCTCTCTTAGTCTTTAATATATTATTTTGTATATTGTTATTAATTTATCGATCGAGCTTTTAAAATAGGGTTATGATACATTGTTACATAGAATTACCACCATATTTGACCTTGGACTTGTGTGATATAAAACTATGTTTTCAAGAAAAAATGTTTCAACAATGGTTTTTCTAATATTTATAACATCCATTAACCTAGTTGAGTGCATCGACAGAATTAGGATTGTCTCGTTGAAATAATGAGGACAATATATTTATATATTTGAAGAAAACCAAAATTTACACATAATTTCAAAAATTTTTGCAGAGAGATAGTCAACTCTGTGTATCCTCCGCAGTTTGTCACAAAAAATAGGAACTTAGCTCATGTTTGGCTCCCCATTAAATTAACAATCAAACATTTTTTAATAAAATAATATTAAAAGTAAACCTAATTTTTTTTTCTTTTTAAATCACACATTATTTAAAAATTTGTTATTCTCCTCATTAAAATTTGGAATAACGGAACCCAAATGTCATTATTCTTGAATACTTTAGAGTTGATAATTGGGTTTTTGTTAAATATGAAAATCACACTAAACTCAGTACTAAGATTGAGAATTAAACGTTTCAATATTGATGTGTATGCAGGGGCGGGGATCCAATCGTTTTGGGTTGTGGTGTAAAAAATTAGAGTTGTGCTATAGTGCTCATATGAATGATCGCGGGGTTGACACAACACACACACATGGGGTCGGGATTATTTTCTTCATGGGGACCCCGTCGGGCATGTGAGGGAGGGGCGGCATCCTTGTGGATTGTGCTTAGCTCCAAAAATTAACGTGTAATTTTTTAAAACAATATAATATTTATAAAAATAAGTTAATACGCACTTTGACATCTTGAAAGTGTTTTATAATTCTATCATTATCAATATTGTTAAATGAATTTTGCTAAATGTATAGTTTTGTTTACCATGTCATTTATGAATGTTGAGCTAACGACGAGTAAATCAAATTGGATATAGGAAATAAATGAAATTTAAGTTTAACGAAAAAATAATTTGAAAGTAATTCAAATTACATTTAATCCATAACGATTTTAGAATTTTTGACATCATTTTTAATGTAAAATTTTCTAATAAAATGATGTAAATTATATTGAAAAATGTATCGTGAAAAATTAATAAACGTTAATAAAATAATTGATTTTTTTAAAAAAAGAACGAGTTAAATGCCTCTTTTAATACGTGCGTTTGACACATATTTAACTATTTTCGATATCTGTTTGGACTATTCGATATGATTACGATGTAGTTTTCGTAACAAACTTCTAGATGATGCAAGCGATTTATAGATTTGGATAGTATATGATCATCGGAAAATTTTAAAAATTAACATATTATCGAAATTTTTGAAATACTAATTTGGAACAGTCTACTTTGATACATCGTAACTTTTGCTATAATTGATCATTTTACACACCATTAAAAAACGAAAAATTAGGCATGAGCGCTTAGAAATAATATTAAGAATGCAATGTTTCGATTTCAGTTGATATGTATTAAAGTGGGTCGAAAACGTTTTAAACAACCATTTTATTTAGAAAAAAATAAAAATAAAAATGTGTGGGGTCATTTCACCCTTACATGAATCCATGTGGGTCCGTCCCTGTGTGTATGCCCCCACAAATTTCAATTGCACGTCTCATTAATTAATAATTTATTGTTTCAAGGAATTTTAGATTTTTTATAATATTTTAATTGGTAAAAGTGGTGTAGGCCGATTAGATACAAGTCAACATCAAAATAAAAATGGATTGAGGAATACACGTGGCGTCCAGTTGGGTGGTGCGTAAGATAGTGGCGGTGAATGCTTGCGGGAAAGAATGTAGGCAACAAGTGAAGTGGCGTATTCTACCAGCGTAATGACGTTTTCAAGTTCGACCGTTTTCATATGGGATTTTTCTTTCTTCTTCCTCCTTTCTTCCTCCTTTCTTTTCTTTTCTTTTTTTTTTTCCTGAACAAAATCTTCAAAATAGTATGCCCATAATCCATGTAGGGACCAGGGAAAATGGAGAAGAAACAAATAACTAAAAATGTGATCAAGAAAATAAAGAACATAACGAATATGAAAGTTCGAACGCGTAATCGCTATTCTCAAACTATATTTGCCCTCTCTTGGGATTGAATAAGATGCTTAAGGATTTTGGCAAACGATTTGTAGAATTATATCAAGTCTTGTAAATGATTTAACATTAAAGTACAAATGCAATCCTCCAATACTTTAAGAATACAAATTGTAAACGATTTAACACTAAAGTACAAATGCAATCCTCCAATACTGTAAGAACACAAAAATATTGAATATGAATGTAAATCAATAGTTTGATTCAATGTGGAATGATATGTGGATCTCAAGATATTTTTCAATGTTTCTAATGTATTTGTATTGATTATTCATCACTTATTTATAGACCTTAATCAATACATCACGAAATAGTGCCAAAACAAGATGAAAAGTGGCAACTTTTAATCCAAAACGGCTCCCAAATTTCAAATTGAAAAATCAGCTAACGACTATTTTTTAACACTATGCGTACACATAGTATAAATCTTGCGTACGCATAATAGAAGCAAAATTTAATTCTGATTTTGTCAAAACACATTTTATGTACGCACAAAAATAAGCATGTGCGTACGCATAGACAAAAAATCAAAATTTTTATTTTTCAATTTCTTTTGATTCTACCAATTTCACAATTGAGCCCAACAATTAGTCCATCATTCCATTGATTTTGAACAAATATTCAACAGATAATGACTGATTAGGACGACACGAGCTCAACTCGATCCCTTGGAAGAGTCGAGTTTATAGTTGAATTGCTTTTTTGTGAAAAATAATAAATAAAACAAATCAAAAAATTCAAAAAGTTAAATACATCAATTTCTCTAGTCCAAACACGAGTCCTCGAACCCAAATCAAGCCGGCTTATGCATCTTGTCCTACGAGCTGAGCCCGCTCATAAAAATAAAATGGTGTTCTACTTGATTTTATTGCTCGTGCCGAAATGATCCCAACTTATCATAGGTGGAGTCAAGCCGAGCTCACAAATAACCCGACCCTTTTTCAGCCTCTAGGCCCATGTTAAAAACATTTTGAAATAGCATAAAATTTCGTTATTTTTTCCATTTTGTTTTGTTCTATGATAAGAACAATTTGAATCATCCTAGGATTAGATTAAGCCAATAAGGTGTTAGTCGCATATTTATCAAGAATAAAGCTAACGGTATATAATTTGGTGTATTGAAAGGTGTACACCCTCTCACATGAGGGTGGGACCCACATGAATAAAATATTTGAGTGGACCCCACCATATGAGAGGGTGTACACCATTCGGTACATCAAATTATGTAATCTTCGCAAAACTCATTTATATTGCTCCAAAAAAGATAAATGCTTAAAAATTAAAGCATTGATTGGATCAAACTAGTGGTGATGAAAATTAAAATATTAAATAAAGACAGATTATTGTTTTTAAAAAATGCGAATTTACTCCTTTTGATTGCCGAATTGCCGATTTCATATGGCATCTTACCAAAATTTCCAAATAAGGCCCCGTGTTAGGGTGAGGTCCTAGTCTAAAACAGGTATTTGTTAATGTCTTAAAAATTGGTTTGGACAATGAGTTTTGCTATTTGTACACCAGGGTTGACATGTCAACTCCGGCGTACACTTCACAAAACTCTTGGACAATATGAAAATGATAAATAGTTATCAGTCAAATACGAGAATCAAAATGGTGGTAATAAAATTAAATAAGACTTGTATTTTCAATTGAGATTTTAATGAATTTTATAAGATTATAAATTTTACGTGATGTTTGATTGGACACATTTTCCATTTTCCATCAAAATGTGGTGTTTAATTGCTAAATTTTCTAAGGAATTTGATTTCCACATTTTCCTCCACACATGTGCCTTTTCCTTGAAATTGTGGAAAACCAATTCCCACCATCTTCCAGCTTTTCTTTTTTTCTTTTTTGGAATTTTTTTTTTAATTTTCAGCAACGAAAACAAAATCTATCAACAATTGTAAAAAAAATTATTCATTTAATTAACAATTTTCATGAAAAACAAGACCAAACGAACACCAAAATATTCAAAATTTCAACTTTTTCCACGTGGAAAATTATATCACTCAAATACAATAATTTACAATTCTCAAGAAAACAATTTCCAGGCAATTCAATTCCTCGTTTTCAATTCAATTCTATTTTTTCAATCAAACGGACCCTTAGTGAATTTTGTGAAGTGAATTTGAATGAATTTTTGGCGAATAGGGTGTGCCTCGTTGCCTGAGTCGGGATATGGTCTCTGTTCACATAGATGACAACTGGTTTGGCCGAAAATTTGAGTTTTAGCTGAGGTCAGATTGTATTTCCAAGTGTTTTCTTCTTGAGTCGGTTTCTGCTTTGTTTCAACCCCTTTTCGCACACTACCATTTGTCATGAAAGTATTTCAATTAGTGCACACATGGAGCTCAGTTTAAACCAACAATCAAGCACCAACTAATCAATTGCTCAATCCAAAAACCAAACTTCACTATGGTTGCCCTCTTTCTTAAACAACTAACCCACAAAAGGATCAAGAATAAT